TTGTCTAAGATATTAGAAGGCATAAGGCTACTGTGCAAATATAGAGTATTTTAGACAATGTTATACACAATATACTGTTATGTCTAAGATATGTAGAAGGCTTTCGGCTACTACAATAGTATTTTAGACAATGTTACACAATATACAATTTTAGAGTATTTTAGACAATGATATATATATATATATATATATATATATATATATATATATATATATATAGTAAACCGACTTTCTATTGGAGTGAGTGTCAAGATATAAACATATATATATATTTATATTGAAGAAAGATGTGACTTTTGAAATTGAGATCAGTTACATCTTTTGATATTAACTAATAGAAAAATAAAAATCTAAAAATGAATACAAAAATTAAAAATCTTATGTGTGACTTTTGTAAATTCAATGAATTTTGGAATGAATTACGTGTATATATATAAAAGTAAAATTAAAGATGTCACTTTGAATAATATTTGGATGGGTCACATCTTTTCCAATTAATCAACAAAACATTTAAATAATAATAAAAAAAAACATATATAAAAAGATGTGTTTATAAAAAAATAAAAATTCTATGCACTTCTAATAATATATATTATAGGAAAATTATAACCTACTCTTACTTTTGATAATAAAAACACCATTGATATACCAACAGGCTAGTGGCCTAGCGGTACCAAGTCCCTACTTTTCAAAGAGGGGTCAGGGGTTCGAGCCTCCGTAGAGGCATGTGTGTGTGAGTACCCAACTAAAAAAAAAAAACCACCATTGATACTGTACCACAGTCTTTTTTCAGATTAAGCTGATTAAAGTTCTATATATGATACCGATATGCAGCACTTCAAGATATTTTTCTTTCAAAAAGACATTTTTTTTCAATAGAGGGAGCATATATTATGTGCACAAACTTTCACGTGACTTTAAGTGTTTAATTCCATTTGTTAGTGGCCACATATTAAACTTGAGACTAGTTAATGGATTCGAGGGTGAGGAGGGAAGGAAAAAATGGATTAATTTCATTAATGATACTTTAGTATATTAAAAATTCAAACAAGTACATATGCCCACAATATATTTTTGTCTCCATTGAAGCTTATATTATTTAGACCAGAGCATTAGCATGGTGAAATATTATGGGACCTTGAAGCTCTTCAAATGAATCAATTTTGTGTCAATCATTCAAAGGATTTTAAGGTAATTTCGACTAAGTTTTAACTAGAATTTAAAAGTCAAGGTGAAAACGGTTGTTTGAAATTCGTGCCCCAAAAAATATTAAGATCTTGTAGGCCACAAAACTACGCTTTTTGGAAATGGTAAAGAATTTATTTTGTTGTTTAATCAATATATAAACTATTAAGTACATAAATTTCATAAATGCAATTTATAAACATCAAATGTCTTTATAGTCGCACCACTGAGAGGCTGTAGTATAGTGATATCTTCTTTATTTTTCAAGTAAGTTGAATATTTAAATCTCCATAGAAGGAAGGAGTACGTGAGTTTCTTAGACAGGAAAAAAAAAAAAAAAAAAAAAAAAAAATAAAATAAAATAAAATTCATTGTTGCATGTAATATCTGGAAAATGATTCTTACACTGCTACTCTTAACTTATTTGTTAAGCCTAATGGATTTTTATCCTTTTAATGTAAGTGAATGGGACCACGTTTGAGTTTATCCACATCATCAAGTGGATAGAAACCCTTCAATTAGACAAATAAATTAGAATAGTAAGTGTAAATATCATTACTCATAATATATTCCTACTTAATAAATGTGTGTTCAACTTTTTCTAGTATCATTTAGTATAAAATCTCAAAAGACAATCACTACAAGTACAGTTAAGCGAGAAATTATTACACGGTCAATCACAACTCGATATGTAAGTAAAGTCAACTTTATTATGTGATTGACCGAAATCATGTAATCCGAACTATGTAAAAATTTCTCAAGTAAAGCATACATTCATTTGAAGTTTTTTAAGCGAACAGGAAATTATCTTTTGGGACCTCATAGGCCTCAAAGCCAAAGAAGCCTCAATAGTTACATATGGGAAAACTATCAAAACTGTAAAGGAGGATTACACTGATGGTTAATAACAAACAACCAAGCAACAACAACAGACCAAAAACATGAATATCGTACAATCATTAGTTGAATCTTTCAATTGCAACCCTTATCAACAAATTATTTTTGAAGTGATTATTAAACATTGATCATTTTGTTAAAAGAGATCCGACAATCTAATGATTCATTGAAAAAAAAAAAATGATAAGAATTTTTATATAAATAAAATAGGAGGGCCCAAAATAACACATTTTCTAATTTAAAATTAATTTTAATGAAATTTGTAACTTATTTTTTAATTATTCGTATTGGAAAAAAAAATGGGGGAAGTGGAAGCAAATCATCAGATATATATTTAAAACATGAATTTAATGAGGAAGGAGATATAATTTAATAAAAAAGTTCTTAGAATGTGCTTAAGATAATTAAAAATAAAAAAAGTTAAATATGCTTACTCACCAAATGAAAAAGATAATTATAGATTATAATACTTCTTTTATATTTTCATAAAAGAGATTAATAAATGGCTTGTTTTTAAAGTACATAAGTGAAACTAAATTATAATTTGTACCGTGGAATTAAATTGTTATTTTCTTTATTTATTTATTTTTTTTGTTTATAGATTAGACCAATTTGTATATATACACTTTATCATTATTCCACACTTGCTAAGCTAGATTGGAGAATATAATCCATTTATTTATTTGCATGTAAAAACGAAAGAAAATAACCTGGTTTGACATGCAAAATAGAAATGAAATGTTTAACAAACAAGTTTTGTATGGTAAAATCATGCATGGTTTAACTTCTTTCTTTTAAAAAGAGGGCTCATTTGGAGGTTATTTGAAGCAAAAATTGAATTCTACCTATAATGCTCATTTAAAATGAAAAAGTAAAAGGGGTAAGGTTGCTTGAGCAAATTACTCCCACCTCCTCTTTATATAGGCTAAGTGTTTACAATGAATAGGATTATAGAATCCTAGAATACTCCCATGTCTAACATATTAGAAGGCTTAAGGGCTACTATACAAACTACTGTACAATTATAGTGTATTTTAGACAATGTTATACACGATATACTCTTATGTCTAAGATATGTAGAAGGCTTTAGGTAGTATTTTAGACAATGTTACACAATATACAATTTTAGAGTATTTTAGACAATTAATATATATATATATATATATATATATATATATATATATATATCTCTTTTAGAAACTGACTTTTGATTTTTTTTCTGACTTTTGATTGGAATGAGTCAAGATATATACGTACATATATAATCATATGGAAAAAAAAACGAAAAAATATATATAAATTAAAAATCTTATGTGTGACTTTTGTAAATTCAATAAATTTTGGAATGAATTACGTGTATTTTAATTAACTAATTTTTCTTTATATATATATATATATATATATAAGAAAAATTAAAGATGTCACCTTGAATAATAACGATAAGGATAAGGGTATTATGTGCATTTTATTTAATTTAGTACAAGTAAATTTTTATTTTTAGGAGAGGTTCAAGTAAATTTTCAAACTACATAAGAGGTCTCTGTAATTATAACAAATCATAAGATAGGTCCGCGTAATTAATCCTAATTTAAAAGTCAAGGTGAAAAAGATTATTTGAAATTCATGCCCCAAAAAATATTAAGATCTTGGAGGCTACAAAGCTACACTTTTTTGGAAATGCTATATATATATATATATATATATATATATATAGTTGTTTAATCAATATATAAACTACAAGTAAGGTGAATATTTAAATCTTTATAGAACGAACAGGAGTTTCTTAGGCAGGTTATTTGGAGTCACCATCAAACGTTGTACAGTATAAAATATATTGCCTACTTAATAAATGTGTGTTCAACTTAGAGTTATGCCAAAAATTATTAAATGATTTCGATCAATCACAACTCGATACATCAACTTTATTCAATGATTGGCCGAAATCATATGGTCCCGTAAAAATTTCTCGAGCAAAATATACACTCATTTGAAGTTTTAAGCGAGCAGGAAATTATCTTTTGGGACCTCATAGGCCTCAATGCCAAAGAAGTCACAATAGTTACGCATATGGGAAAACTATCCAAACTGAAAGAGAGGATTACACTGATGGGTAATAACAAACAACCATGCAACAGCAACAGACCAAAAGCTTGAATATAGTACATCATTTAAGTTCCAAGTGCATAGGAAATTTGCCTTTTGCCACCTGATAGGCCTCACAACTCAGATGTGCATGAACAAACAACTCTGTTGATTAAGGATTATATTAAGGATTTTGAACAAACAACCAAGCAACAAAGAACAAACTTGAATATTATTCTCTCTCTCAGATGAACCAGAATTTAATCGCGGGTCTCGGTTCCATATTGAGCTGATTATTGAGTTTATAGAATGAATTAATGCTATAATCCCTTGCTTACTTTGGCTTCACTCAGGCATATTTTCTCTCTCTAGAAAGGAGAAGGCACAGCAGCTTAAATTGGTCACACCTTGAAGATAAGTAATGTGTTTTTCCAATTAACTTCACACACACACACACACACACACTACAGGAGAACTTCTAGGAGTACTAGTTTCTTGCTAATGAGATTCTTATTTCCACCTCACTTGAATGTGAATGCATGGGCACGTGTGTGTGAGAAATTACATTACTTCTTACGGTTTTATTCTAGTTTTATGTGAAACTTGTAACTCATATAAACCTGACTGCCTAAATCCCCATGCAACTAAACTGTAATGAGTAGGATAAATGTGCCCTTGATTTCCTTATTCTTTGTGACAACTATAATGCAACTCAAGTATATGATCAGTCAATGGACAATATGATAACATACAAACATAAAAAGGATGATTTTCGTATTAAAAGGAAAAACTAAAAGACGTATATGAAAGTAAGCCATGCGTACACAAGCCAAAAATGAAACTATGAAAGTAAGATATGTGTACACAAGCCAAAAATGAAACTGTTCCACTATGTTTTAAATGCACTTGGATGAGCTTATTTGTTCTTCCAAGCATTTGATGTAACCAGTTTTTCCACATGTTATGAATTTTAGTTCTCAAGATTGTTTAAATTTTTTTGCATAATTTTGGCTTGTGACTCCATTTTCTTTTCAAGTTTCTAAAATATTGCAAGAAATATGTCATTTTCCATCTTTATTCATTTTTTCCTTTTTTTTTTTTTTCATGGGTACAATACTACAATGGATATGAGATATAGGTTAAAACCTCAGGAAGGTAGCAACAGATATCTAACAAGAAGCAGCATTTCGAGCTCCTCAAGTTTGAAGGACTTTGACGAAAGTTTGCTACAAGTCTGCACAAGTTTTGCCCTCTCTGATGTTGTCGAGAAATATTGCACTCCCATTTTCTGTGCATCACAAGTCTGCAGAGACAGAATAAAATAATTAAATTTTCCTATGCAATAAATAAAGCCTTAAAAACTTTATTTAAATATTCTATTCTGATACATGCACGTCCATACACTTGGGCATTATTTTTGCTGCGTGTATATATGTACATCATGAAACAGAAAAAAAAGTGACTGCAAGAACCTAGCTTTAGAGTTAAAAGTAAAAAGAATTAATTTTAATAAGTGAGTTTTCTATACCTCTATAAAACCGTGATCTACCGACAGCTTGACGGATATGACTTTCTTGCCTTTCATCCATACTATGTGATTGAGATAACAATGGCCCCGAATATTGAACACTTCGTTGCTGATCATTATAATCCTGATATAATCAAATAGACTGTGTTTCAATACCAATATGTAAATGAAGTTCAAATAGGGAGATAGTTCTTCTCTATGGTGAAAATGAAAGTAAATGAACCCAATTATAAGTCTCCGAGTTACCAATATGTAAATGAAGTGCAAATAGGGAGATAGTTCTTCTCTATAATGAAAAAGAAAGTAATCAGTCTCTAAGTTTCCAATTATTTTTTCTGGGCATTTTCATTGATTTAAAAGATTCCACTGCACCAAGCAGCATTGGGCTTATGTTTCAATATTGGAGTCTGAGTTGCCTATATATGTGAGATAACTCGCTATCAACAAAGTTTCATTATCAATGAAAACCGGCTGCTACTGCACACCTGCCAAAATTATATTTGATAATAATCTTTTTTTCAGTTTTATATCTTACCGCTGATAATTCCTGAGACAGGTATAAATCAGATGCATCGAAAGACTCTGGCCTATCAAGTTGGTTTAGCTGCCTCCGCATTGCATGGTTGGCAATCTCAAATGAATCACAACCTCTCAAATCACTATGGACCCTGTTTAAAAACTCTTCATTCTCTTGCCCTGTCGAGTCCAACATATCTTTTGCATGCAGGATGCTGGATGGTTCTAATTCACTCATGTTTTGACTTCTTGAATTGGCTTGACCATATAATCTTGTGGATGCAGCATCCCCTTTCCATCCCTTTGCCCAGGCAAAACCACTTGATGCTGAGACTTGTATTGGGACTGAGTGAATACTGTTCCCTTGGGATAACTCTGTCAACTGAGACGCCTCAGACACTGTATCATATGATCCTGTCATAGTCGCCCGACCGTCGGTGGCTCCTTTGGGAAGATGTGCATTACTGCCATTGTTTCTACGGGCAAATTGAGTACTGGCTTCCATTGCCTATATAATATATAACAATAAAGAAATTAGTGGGAACTAGCTCACTTCCATTACTGCTGCTGCTGTGTGTGTGTGTGTGAGAGAGAGAGAGAGACCTCTGTTGGTACCACTTTACGGAGAGTGCTTGATTCTTGCAAAGCTTTACGGGTTCTTCTTAGATTCCTTGAAGCTCCAGATGCTCGCAATCTACCTCCACCCTTTCTTCTGAAAATACAGCGTTTCTAATTCAAATTTCCAACTAATAATAAATTATATAATTTTATGGAACACATATAGTGAAAAATTAGCATGGTTCATACACTAGAAGTTTGGAATGCCTACTGATTTCTTAATCTCAGACCGAGTTATACCATTCTATTTTACAAGCTAGAAAATTTAGATTCTCAAAGTTCCACATTTGCATTTGACTCGCGTCATTTTAACCAAGTGACTCAAATGTTAGCAGTCTTATTCATCATTCCTTTTTAGGTTTGTTTGTGTGTGCTAGTGTGCTATAGAAAAACCTGGCTGTCCTTTAAAAGTTATCTGAATCAAAAACTTAATTTGGAATAAAAAATCATGTATATCACCTTCGCGCTTCCTCACGCAACTTTGCATCCATCTCTTTGTTTGGTGGGTATTTTGGCAAACTTGACGGGTCACATGCGTAAGGCCTTGTGGCAAAATACTGAAAAAAGGTGTAATCCAGAGACAATGAATCACAAAAATAAGCCTAATAAGATCTGAAATTGGTTAAAAGTCACAATAATGTAACAAAATTAGTTATGAGGAACTACATAGTTCTATAGATTAAGAAACTAGGTGGGCAGAACTGCCCACAGTAAACTGCAAAATATGACATGAAAATTCAAATTGCAAGATGTTACATTGCAGAAAGATTGCATTTTTTTGGTGGATATATGTTATCCTGAGTAGATTAAACTTTTCCATGAAGTGTTACCTCAGAATCAAGGGCAGTTGAGGCAGTCCCACGCTTGTAAGGTTCTACGGAAAGAAAAGTTTCTATAAGCTTCACAGCAGTTTTGGGGAATTCTTTACACCTCTGCCGAAGAGTACTTTCATAAGGATTTTGGGGTTTAAACATGGTTGAAAGCGGAAGTTTAGTCCTCTTCCAGAATTCATCAGTAGGGGAACCACAAAGCTTAAAAATCTTGTGCAATTGTTCAACCTGTAGATGGCCAGGAAGAAAAGATACATTAGTTTTAATGCAGGAATAATAATAACCAAAGTAATGTTATCAATATACGAGTAAAAATTTAATCTGTGTCGGATATTCATGCATTCCTTCACAGAGTTCAGGAAAAGTTCACTACTCGATAGATGTGTCAGCTCCAAATGAAGATGCTAACTCCCTTCCTCCACCTCCACCAACAAAAAAAGAAGAAGAAGAAAGGAATAGGATAAATATGCACAAATCATAGTTTACTAGGAATATAGAGGCATCTTATATACTATAAAATCTACTCAAGCCGTAATTTGGATTATGTAGGTCCTATAAGAACAAAAATTTGCTATGGAGGATAATGTTGTTCAACAACTAAGAAACAATTCATGGTTTCCTTTCCTCTTTTTAGTTTATAAATGGAAACCTTATGGTGGGAAAAATAACAATTTCTTCTTCATATATGGATTTTTTATTTATTTTTATAATAGGTATCTTTCTCTAGTATTGTGCCACAAATCATCTGTTGTTTCTTTCAAGATAATTCCCATATCCCTCATTCCATGAGCTATTAGAAACATAACAGGTTAGAATCACATATTAACATGGTTCTAAGAAGGTGGTCACCTCAGTTCTTCCCTTAAGAATAGGCTTTTTGATAAAAAGTTCAGCAAATACACAGCCCACACTCCACAGATCCACTGATGCTCCATAATTCGTTGACCCCAACAAAAGTTCAGGAGGACGATACCACAATGTCACTACACGACTTGTTAATGGTTGCCTGTGCCTTGCACTAAGGAGATTGGCCAATCCGAAATCTCCTAGCTTCAAAATTCCTTCATTGTTTACCAAAATATTGGATGTTTTGATGTCTCGATGGATAACTCCTCGTGAGTGGCAGTGCTCGACTCCAGATAAGAGCTGCCGCATATAGCACTTTATCTACACGTGCAAGCGTGTATGCACAAACACACACAAAGAAGTCAATTTCACAACCTTACTCCCATTTCTGGAAAAACTAGATAATACAGAAGAAATGTCCCTAACAAAGTGAAACTGAATGTCTCTCCATAAACCTAAGGTGCAACAAAATACATGAACAAACCTGTGCATCGCTGAACTTGATGTCGGGACTTGATGATAGTCCAGAAAGATCATGTTCCATGTATTCAAACACAAAGTATATGCTACATGATAATCGAGAAGTAATCAGCCCCTCCAATTTCATGACATTTGGATGGTCAAGCCTGCGGAGAATTGCAATTTCTCGTGCCATGAACCGAACACTTTCTGGTTGAAAAGTGTCAAACCGCACCTTCTTCAGGGCAACTATTCCACCAGTTTCAACATTACGTGCACGGTACACGGTGCTGTATGTACCTTGTCCAATCTGAATGTATGGGAAATTTTGAAAAGGACAGTCAGAAACATTTATATTTGGAAGAAGTGAATATTGTAACAAGATAGACTGTTAAGTCCGATAGGGATCTTAGCCAAGAAACCAAAAGTAAAGAGATAACATAAACATATAATAGTTACAGAAAGCACTAAAAGCCATCAGTGTTACTACCATCGTTATCGTAAACAGGGCATTTCACAAGAAATATTTCAAAAAAGCCCATTCAAAGGATCCCATGTTGTTAATATATATTAAGGAAACATATGTTTGTACACTGAACCACAAAACCATTTTTGGTTCATATTATTCGTTATCTTATTGCCTTCTTTGCAATTGCTTATAGAATGAAAGTTCAAACTGTTAAGTGCAACATTCTTACCCCTTTTTCAAGTGTAATGGTTTTTCCTTTATGGGTGATTTCTCACACATCACACATACAAACCTGCATAAACCAAAGCAGGGTAATAATGTGCGTTTTGTCATTTTCTTAGAGGGTTGGAGGAGACCGTGGCACTGACCGTTGTGCATGGACCAAAACAGAGTAATATATCATATTGGCACCAGTAACACAAAAAATGTACAACCATAGTCAAAACTTCCAATGAATTCATGCTCAAGTAAAATAGAAAATGAGAAGAATAAATCAATCAATCAATGTAGGATTGAATTCTGTGAGATGAACACATAACTATAAACTAATTGAAGGATAAAATATGCTGAGACAGAAAAGAAAAAAGAAAAAAGATGAACAAGCTTGAGGCATTCAATACCTTATCCAATTTCTCGAATAATTCCGACCTCAGGGGCAGCCATCCCTCGACCGCTTCGCCGGCGACAGCGCTGAGCCAAGGGGGCCAACCGGCGGCGATTTGTTCTGCTTCAATGTACCTCCCAAATTTCAAGCTGAAAGCAGCCTTCTTTTCAGAGCTCCCCTTCTTTGTGGACTTGGATTTCTTCAAATCTCCATTTCTTCCCACCGATTCATCCCCTCTCTCCTTCTCTGATTCCTCCTTTATCTTCCCTAATTCCCCGAAACCACTCCGGCGGCTTCGAGACGACAAGGAATCGACATTTGCCAACAACCCATTTTCCCGATCTACTGCTACAGAGAGAACGAAATCCGGCGACGAAGATCTCGCCTGTTTGGAGCTAATGCAACCCATTAAACCCCAAAACCCATCAAAGGGTGATCAAATTGGGGTGGGAACAAGATCGACCCAGATGGGGAAATTGGGGTTTCAGAGATGGGGGAATTAACCCCTACATTAGCTACAAATGGGTTTCCATTTGCACATAGAAAAAAGATTGACAATAATGGGTTAAAAACCGTTAAAAGTTGGAAGCAAAAAAAAGCTGTTGGGTGTCAGTATTTCCCTCTTTTTCTTTCTCTTTCTCTCTCTATGAATTTCCTTTCTCTTTCTTTCATCTCGGTCTTGCGAGATCTGCGGAGGGTGGAGGATTTTAAGGGGTTTGTGTCCGAAAGAAAAGGAAGAGACATTCGTGGGTCCGTATTTCTTCATTCTTTTGCAGCTGTATTGTGTTGTGCAAAAGAAGGTACAGAGAGAGAGAGAGAGAGAGAGAGAGAGAGAGGTGAAATGTAATGCTTGAGAAGTTCAGTTTGAATTTCCGAGTGTTGGTTGAAAAGAGAGAGAGAGAGAGAGGGGGAGGGAGGGAGGGAGGGGTCTTCTGGTGGTTGTAGGACAACTGCCCAACAACTCTACTGCCAAAATTAAGTAACAGAATTAAGATTAAGCTGCGTTTGGATTATTTTTTTTCTTCTTATTTTAATATTTTTTTTACAAATTACAATATATATAACACACACTTAACTTTTTATATTTATGATCAAAGTCTAAAAGATAGGACTCGTAGATTCCTTTTATGGGTGTTAAGCGCCAAAAAAAAAAAAAAAAAAAAAAAAAAAAAAAAAAAAAAAAAATGAAAATGAAATAATTGAAGTTATACTAAGAAAATAATTATTGACAAATCGGGTCATTATTTATTTGTTTTTTCGAAATATTTGCTTTGAATTTCGTGTGGATTTTTAAAATGTAAACAAGTACTGAAACAATTAAATTGCTATTTAACTTTAAAACTTTTTTTTTTTTTTTTCTTTTTCAATAGTATTAGAAAACTTTTTTTTAATAGTATATCCAAACACAGCCTTAATTTTTAAGATAATGTCAAATTGTAGGGGCTAAAATTTGTTGGGTACCTTTGGGTTCCAGCAATCTTAAGTCCCATAATTGAGCTTCAACTAATCTACCAATCTTGGTGCTGTCATGACTTTTGTCTGCTGCTTATAAAATAAGATAATATTTAGCCACTTACAGACTAATACCGGTAATCCTTATATAAATCAAGAGTCATCCTAAAAAATAAATAAAATAAAAATGTCGGTTTTTTTTTTTGGTTCCATTCCACTAATAAAGTCACTCTTGCCTGTATTTAAAAATAATAGTAAAATTTTTATTATTAGGATTGTCACATCAGTCAATAACAAATATCATTGTTAAATTTATCATTCCTCTTATTACAATGATTAATTATCACATCACAAGTTTATCATTTATCTTATTACAATGATTGATTATCACATCAGTCAGTAACAAATACCTATAGTCAAGTTTATCATTTTTCATAAAACACTATACTACAAAAGGTTTAACGAAGTTAAAAGTTCTCATTTCAGCTTAATATTTGAGAGCGGACGTAAGAATTGCTTTTGACCTCAGTTTTGTTTCCTCGGATGTGGTTAGCCATCCTCTCCATAGGAGGAGTTTTTGCATCAGATTGCACTACCTTATTCTCTTCAGTGTGGTTTTGTCAATAAAGTTGATGAACATAAAATAATGAAGCTGAAGATGGTTTTGCTCAAATCCCTTTATTGACCATTACATTTATCAAAGGACAGGGCTATAGAGAATGAAAATTCACACCGAAAATGTTAAGTAAGCGATTTTTATCCCTCCCGATTCAATGCATCCAAAGAATAAAAATCCCTCCACTAGCATTCTCGGGTTCACCGCTAAGTTTGAAAATGATTATCCTTTATCAAAAGTAAAGCAAATAAATGGAGTACATGTGAAAGCATTCATCTCCAACAAAAAGTTATTCAAAATTAGCATGGTCTTTTTGCAACTTGCAGTTCAAACAACATTACAAAATAAAGATCAAATAAGCAATAACCCGGCTAGTACAACCCTCGCCCTCTCTCCAAATGGGAGGTAGGGTGTTACAAATAAAGTATCTCACGGGGAAAAAAAGAAAAAAAGCAAAAGCAAAGACAAGAATTGAACTAGGAATGGTGGGCAACTTAAATTACATACTGAAAGCATACATATCATCTGAGCGTATACAACCAAACAATAACAGTACATATTTACTGGTCTACCTTTACCCTAGTGGCTTTGGATCTTAATTCCCAAGCCCTAGTTCAAAGTTTCGAGACTGGTAGAGAGAGAAGGAAGGGCAAAAATAAAAATAAATAACAGTACGTATTACCTCCAACTTCCCACACACAATATAGTACACACAAGCATATATCATCCTTGAACCCACTATACATTAAGCAGCCATTGTTGTGGATTTCTCAAAAAGTTATCGAATGATTCCTTTTTATTTATATCTCCTTTAAGTTCTAAAAGAATTCCAGCAGGTGCAGTTTACACTGTAATTCGCTCTTCTTTTAGCTGCAAAAGAACTGGTCTTTGATCAAGTAGGGCGGGTTTCTCAGCTACCATCCGTTGTGGTTTCAATTGCGTTGTGTTGCTGCTGTTTCTAGCAGCTGGAAGATCATGATTATGTTTTCCTTCATACGTGGTTACGACAGCTTTGGGGTCTGTTGAAGACCTCTCGACATGCTTACGGACACTGCATCCAACGCTAGTGCATTTGTAATAACTCCTGCAGACAGAATTCAGATGCATCAGAGATGATCCTCACATAAAGTAGACACAACTCTTTTTCCCCTTTTCATTCTGGTTGTGCAGAAAGTAGCACCTTCTATACATACAGCCATTTAAGAATCGACAAAACTTGGAACATAAGCTTTTTCAACATTTAGAAAATATGCAGAACATGCAATCAAGGCAAATGACATTATAATCAAGTTGTAGAAATCAGACTCAGCAAACTATAAGAGCCTTTATGATTGGCCTACTATTTTATGATAGATATGAATACATAGCTCAATATTACATCATCATGACGAATATTTTTCTCACAACGGTCAAATCATTATGAAAAAGGACAAACCATTCATGTCCTGCAAACTAACATGCGTCATGAATATCTTACACAATGAAGTAAAATGGCCTTAAAAACCGGAGAAACAAATCCATGCAAACAAGAAAATGACACCCACTCTAACAAAAAGCAGAAATAAAAGAGAGAAATGAAAAACCTATGAACAAAGGAATGAACAAAATGATCCATTAGTTCCTTCATTTAATGATCAAAAGCATCAACAGCAAAAGATTGAGTCCTCTGTGTTATATAACATATGTATCTTTGTCATTTTTTGCAGAAATATATGATATCACAAGCTGCTCCAATCAGGAATTTAGAAGTCAATGTCATGCATGGATGCCTTACAAATAGGATTATCATATGCTTAAGTGCTTAAATCTCATTGGGTATGAATGGCAGCACAAATTTGAAGCAAAAATGCAGTAGCAGCATCTGCCATAGGCATTCATCAAATGCTGGGAAGATAGAATGGTTCCTAAAACTTCAAGCATTAACATCATAGTAAACACTCATAAAGAAAAAAAAAAATGTAAGATTATTGAAAAAAAAAAAAAAAAAAAAAAAAGGATTCTAAGAAAGAAATGGGTGAGTGAGGACCCAAAAGAGGATTCAAGTTACAATCCTGGGACAGTACAACATCTCTCATAATTTAATCAGTCATTTCATTCTATGCTTGTTAACCAAGTGCTGAGGTAAAGGTAGAAAGATATATAATACTCTAAAGAGATATAACACAACCACCATTTATAAAACCACTGCTTTATAGCTCACAGGAGGGGAGAGAGTATAAAGGTGGTTTACTCGTGGGATTGGAGGTTGTGGCTAAAGCAATAATGTCTAGGAGAGACCAAAGATTGTCTCTGTGCTGCTAAAAAGGAAGATTAAATCAGAAAAGCACTATAACAAAGTTCTCTTTAAGCGTTTGAAATCCCGAAATCGTGACCTATTTCTAAATAAGAAAGAAAAACCTGGTATTCCACTATAACAAAAGAGGCAAGAAAAAAAAAATTCTCTACATAAAGAATTTCCAAATATTTCCAAACAACATGAATAACCGCATGAATTGTACCAGCAAAAGGCATCTGAAACACTAACTGAAGAACATGAATCTTTTACATGCTGAAATGTTGAATCAAGAATGAATGTAGAGTCATAACAGTAAACAGGCATTGTTGCTTTTGGAAAAAAGGGTCAGGAAGTATAGTTCGAGGAAGTAAGATTAAAAGAGAGCATTTTCTACCAATAAAATAGTGTGTGTTAATATTGGGTATAAAAAGGATCTAGGACCACAAACGAGCAGTTGAAATATATTCATGTAAGTCAAGGGATGAAAGAGTGGCTAAAACACCAATTCTAAGTGCATCTTTCTGATAACTTTCATCCTGTTGAGTAAATACACAATATAATCCACTTGCCAGATATCTGGCAAACGAATATCAGAATCAACTTGCACAACACAATCATCAAAGACAAAAACAGATAGAGAAGTGTACAGGTCTTCCACAAAGTTAATCAAATCTTATGGCCCAAACCACTCCTGGAATAGTAAAATCAGTACCCAACATAAAGACAAAGTAACCACCTTGGATTGGGGTTCCCTTTGACCACTTTCTGCCCATATTTTCGCCACTTGTATCCATCATCCAAAAGATCAACTTCGCTTCTTGTCTGCACAATGACTCTTGGTTCTGTGACCGTTTTATGTGATACAGCTACCTCAGATGCCCCAACTGCTGTGTTCCTGCACTACGAGGCAATCTATATAAGAAATGGGAAGGTCGAACAAAAAAATCTTTATATCAAGAAGAAATCTTAGGCATAAAACTGACCTTCTCTTGGGATTTGGTTCATCATCATCCCCGTCACCTATTTCAGCATCAACCAGTTCCTTCTGATCACTTGATTGAGGTAAATGTACATGTGTAAGTTGGGTAGATACTGAATTAGAATGTATTGTTTCATTTGACCTGTTCCATTCTGTCTGAATCTGAGAGCCAAGTTCAGGCCTTGCTTGAGAGTTGTTACTTCCATTCGGATCGCCGCCGCCGCCTTTAGCACGTTTATTGGGTTGAGGCAGTTCATGATTGTGCTGGCCTTTGTAGATAATCTCAGTTATCTGGCCTTCAAGGTTACGCTCCACCTTCTTCTTGACAGGACAATTGGGATGTGTACACTTGTAGTAGCTTCGAGGATAATCACTTGCCTTGACCTGTTTCTGCCCATATTTTCGCCAGTTGTAGCCATCGATGGCAGGTTTATCTACAGCTAGGGAAGGAGGAAGTGATTTTTTATCAGAATGAGAAACATCTGAATATTCCATTGTGGAACTTTCAGGCTCAGACTCAGATACTACTGTGTCCACTGGTTGTTGTATGGTTGCATTGGAAGCAACGTCTGCAGAAGCTGCTAGTGAAGAAGATTGATATTCGGCTTGCATATGCATATAAGACTGTGATAATGCAGCCCGAGCAGTAACCTGTGCCAGAGCCTGCTGGTGGGACATCCCAAAGGGGCTCTGCACGGAATACAAGGACCAGGTATTGATTACTTAATACAACTAAAGGCTGAAACAATTATATAGTGTTGACATGCCAAGCACCATCAGAAGCCACCTCATTCATACTGAACGCAATGCATAAAAATTATATATCATTCTCGGTTAGGTGTTCTCAGTATATCTATATATATATATCTATATATATCTACCTATATGTATATGTATGTATAAAGTTTTTAACAGAACATCCTGACCTACCAAAGGATATAAACATATTACATGATAAGAAATTTTTCTCTTATATTACCCCAACTTAAATTTTTTAAATTTAAACATATACGGCCAAAAAATATCACAAAAAAAAAGTTATATTAAAAAATCTCAAGAAAAGGATTACGTCAACAGAGATATGATCTGACAAAAATAATAAACTTATAGGTTATTGCACTTAGAAGGGTTGAATCATCTGAACCTGATTTATAAATCAAGAGCGTGAAGAAATGCTTCCATCAGCTGATAATTTACACCGTATATGAAGTGTTTATAAGGAAAGCACGGTTTCAAGAGAGGAGACTGCAATATCACAAAATCCACAGATGTGGACATGGATCCGACGCGTAATGTTGCTCCAGTGAGGCACAACAAAAGAACCACTCTCTAAAGTGTTTAAATAACCCAACCAAGACATCAACACAAGAGGAAAAGAAAAAGGAATAAAGTCAAAATTTGGATAGAAAAGATTCATATGACAAAATGGCAGCATTATCATCCAGTGATATTTATTGCCAAAGCTGGATGCATTGACTCCTCGGAAATCTAAAGCAGCTGATTGGTTAACACTTGACACCATCTAATTTCTCAGGAAGCAATAAAGGGCACTTTGACAATAATATTTCACATTATTTATCATAAAAATTAAGTGCATAACCTACGAAAAAGCATCAAGAAACAGATGATCCTTCGTCCCTCAATCCACCATTCCCGTGGACTACTAAGAATCAAGACCCTTAAAACCTTGATGGCAAGCAATTCCGAATCCAGCATAGAGGCAAACCACCACTAATCAAAGTGACAAATTGAATAACCTCAAGGTCAGGGACAACAAGAGTAAAGCTATGAATTGGACATATAAGAAACATGTGAATGCACATATACACAGATATATACATACATATGTGGCCAACTCTATTCATATGGGATGATGATGATACATATTACATACATATGTAAGTATAATTGTATATACAATTACATTAGTATATAAATACACAAAAATGCGTGTTCTGCTGAAATTAGACTCCATCATTTACAAAATAAACAATCAAAAGCATATTGTTGTCTTTGTGATACCACACAAATACCATGAAAACAACAAACAAATTAACAATTCCACTTACAATCTTATATTAAATAGCAAAAATAAGATCCAAGCAATAAAATTCAACAATTCACCTACCAAATACGAAAAATAAACACCAACGATTCCATGAATTACCTGAGTCGGTGAAAAGAAACCTGGTGAGTTGAGCAACACGGAAGGACTCAACCCAGGTGGAACCATAAACATAGGAGAGTGACCTACCACCAAATTCATCGGCCGATTCTGCTTAAACCCTAAATTCCTCTCACCCCCATCTCCCTGATTCGTCTCTTTCGAAGAACAATCGGTCGAATTGTCCGCCAAAAAGCTCGGCTTTATACCGGTAATGCCCGCCACCGGCGAAGCCATGGCTCCGGCGAGCAGCTGAGAGAAGGAACAACTCCCCGAATCGAAGAAATTGGAGACTAGCGTCAAGGGTCCAGGGCTCAACCCAAATCCTCCGGTGAAGAGGGCTTCGACGGAGGAACGAGGTGGGAGAGCAATCGTTGGAGGTTTAGCTGCTGAGACTCTCGAAGATCCACCCTTCTCAGCCATTGCTACGCCTTCACTTCCTTTACTCTCTCTCTCTATATATATATACTCCCACTTTCTATATATATATAATAAGTTATAAGTTAATATATATAGAGTATGTATAACAGGACTATGCTGAAGAGTTGCAGAGATAATTCCTTCGGACAATTTTATAAATATTTTCTACTTTCTCTCTCTAAATCCACTTTCTCTCTCTTGTTTGGTGCATAACTTTTTGGTCTTATCTTGAAATCAGTGGGAAATCCATGGCTTGAAACTGGGAAAAGGGTGATTTCTGCTCTATAATCCATAGTTTTTATGTTGCTGAAAATGTATTTTAGATATTTTAGAAATTTAGAGTAAATTTTTTCCAAATTAAATTCAAATGAAATGTGGCCAAATTTGTTAGATTCTGCAGCTGGGCTGCTTCTTGTCCTTTTTGACTCCGTACGTAACTGAGTATGACCAAAACATCAACCTTTGTGCATCAAAAGTGCCAAATGTCATGTTTGGACAATATTTAAAGAATATTTGTCTAATTATACTCACGTAAAAATTTTCAACACCCTTAAATACTATTTCTACACATTTATTTTTAATTTTAATGTATATAATTAATGTATTGAAATACAATTTAAGTATTTTAAAACTAAAATATTAAGTTAAGAATAAATTTAGGTTTGTTAAAAAAGATTACAGCACATATATGGATTGAATTAGTTATATCTAATAATTTAAATTTTTGGATCGAATCACGATACACTCATCCATTATAGGTCTTATCAGAGCCAAATCTAATCCTGATCCGGTGTCACGCCAAATGTCTGACCAAAAGGGCGTTTGGTTCTGTACCTCAAGTAAAAGGGTGCCGAATGGAAAAGCACCTAATAACTTAAGCTTGGCAGGGTGTCGGATAAAAAAATGAATGAGTATATATGAATTGGATTAGTCACACCTAATATCTTAAGTTTTTGAATCAGATCTCGAAGCACACACTTGTTACCATTCTTTCTTTGTACATAACTTAAAAATGATCAATTTAGGAAGAATATTCAAAATTTGAGTGTAATGATTCATTTGATGGGAGGAAAGGATGAGAGAATGATAGGAAGAGAAAAGGGATGCAATAAGACTCCATTGCTTTGTTAAAGGAAGACAGGAAGGATGAATTCACCATTTTGCTTCAATCCAAAAGAAAGAGAAAAATAAAGAGAGTTCGATTAAATTGGAAAGACATCGTTATCCTCAAATCAATGTTTTGATTTATATATTTAAGAATATATTAATAAATTAATAATAATATCTATTTACTTTCCTTCCATCCAAAAGAAGGGACTTCATACTTGCTCTAAAAATGATCTATCTATCATTCTCCTCTTCCTTCCCTCTAATTTTTCACCCCTTACCAAACAAAGTATAATAATGATTTGTTTGGTAGGATGGATGGAAAAGGGGTGGGTGTTTGGTTGAGAGATGAAGTAGGAAAAGAAAGAGCATAGATGAATCATTCATCATAAAAAATTTAAATTACAATAACGTCCTTAAAATATATTAAATAAATTTAGTGTTAACAATCTCCCTTTCTCTTCTCTCCTAAGGGGTTACTTTTTTTCTCTTTCTCCTTCATTTAACCAAACTCAAAAAGAGAGAGTAACAATATTCTTTCATAAATGTCTCGTCCTTTATTTATTATTATTATAAAAAATAATACTAAATCGATTCCAAAAAGAATATCAATTTTGAATAGTAAAATTTTTAAGTTGACATGTGATTATGTATTGTTCCTTAAAAAGTTACTGACTTGTTCTTTTAAGTTTTAAATATTTAAATTTTAAATTTTAAATTTTAAAAATATATAATAAATATATATATATATATATATATATATTGTTTGATAAGGAAAGTGATCCTATGGAGTACACTACTTCTTTCTTACGAACACAGTATAAATATAAATTATTCGAAACCAAAACGAAAAAAGTCAAAGAGAAACAGAAAGAGTATTAAAGTGCGGTTAGACAGTTCAACTCATCTTGCTTGACAAATTTAATTCGTTGACAAAAGTTGGGGATTAGCCAACGTCGCTCAAACAACACACGTGATAAAGTTGAGTTTTGCTTTAGAAAGTTATGTCTTGGACAATATTCCTCCCATATTTGTTCACTTTAAGAATATCTGTTTTCTATTCCATCTTATTTGATTTATATTTATTCAAACTCTCTTTTCTTTAAAAAAAAAAAAAAAAAATTATTTTGAGTCATATTTTCTTGCGGTGAATTTCACGTGAAGTTCATAAATTTCGTATGATACGAAATTCACCTACAAGTAAATAATAACAAAATTATTCAAAAAAAAAAAAAATACAACAAAATTCACTAATAATAAATATGAATTTAACCACAAAAAAGCCAACGGGTTTTGACATGCATTGATTGTCTTGCCAGAGGTGGCCTAAAATATTTTGTACGTTACCTAGTCAGCATCCAACTTGTAACAATAAATACACTCATTACCCAAATTCATACAATGGAGACACTTTATCTGCACATTTTCGCAAAGAGTTATAAGCATGAAGAACGGGCCCACAAAGCTGATCAATTGGTAGAAATGAACTGGCATTGTTAAAACAAACATTGTACACGTGGAGTAGATATTGGAGGTATCAGACGCGCCACATAATTAGTGTACTCACTTAATGGTAATGTATTATTTTAAAAAAATATTGATACACTTATTATAAAAATTACTCATAACAAAATAAGATGTTATATTCCATGGGATCGATACACTTATGACATGGCACTGGCGCACTCAATATTTACTCGTATATTTGGTTGATGCAATTGTTAATTTGACACTTAGGGCCTGTTTGTTATGTATTTTACTTTGGTGTTTTTGTTGCAGGACTCCATTTTAGGCCCAAAAACATGTTTGGTAGCCCTTGTTATGTTTTAAACAGTAAAAAAATATTATTTTAAACAGTGCACAATTTTGGCCCAAAACTGAAACACCATTTCGGTGTTTTTTGTTGTTTCTGAACTGTAACCCAATAAAAAGAACTGTAGCGCTTGAAGTAAGTTGGGTCTTGAACTGTAGCGGAGGAAGTAACTTTAAAACGTCGTCTGCAACATTTTGGCCCGATCTTTTCTCTCTCCTCTGAAACCTAGAGAAGCGATTTGGGAGACGATTTGGGAGGCGAAAGGGAATCTGAAACCCTAGAGAAGACGATTTAGGAGGCGACGAAAGGGAATCGCAAGCACGAAGTCGTTAACAAGCACAAAATCGAAAGCACGAACTGTGGTGAGTACTCTCTCTTCTATTTCTCTCCTCTTTAAAGACTGTGTCTTCAATTTAGTTGTGAAACAAGAAAACTGTGCTTCTCATGTACTCCATAAGAACTATATTCAGTGATTTTCCCTAGCTCGTCTCATCTTTAGAAGTTGGCCTAAAGCCCTAAATTTTTCACTGCCTTCCTAGATCCAGATCTTCAGTGATTTTCTTTTTTTCTTTTTATTTAATTTTTTTTTTTTTTTTTTTTTTGCATTCTGTTCAGATCTTCCTTTGATTAGATATAAGAATATGTCTATATATATATATATATTAATGTATATATACACGCACTTACAAAATTCAACTCTCAGTGCTATATACAAGGTGGACTACTAACAAGTAATAAAGATCCAGAAACAGTTCTATTGAGGACCCCAAAACTGATAAATTAATAAATTAGAACAAAATACAATATAAGAGTAGGCCACTTACAGAGGAAAATGTTGAAGAAATATGTAAAGCTTTGGAAAATGATTCTTGGTTTTGTAAGTTTAAAGAAAATGAAAGGATCAGAGAGCTTATTTCATCTAATTAATAAAAGGAATGGCAATATACAATTTTACATATACATTAATCTGCAGTCTCATAAAAACTGAACTTAAATTGCAATAAAGCTTTAAAAATGGTTGTAACGAATACATGAATTACAGTGGTCGGTTCTCAATTTCTCATAAAGAAAAGGTAATGTGAATATTGAACACTGTAATATTTTTGCAATTCACATTTTATTATTTTGAACTTTTTCATTTTTTCTTCTAATGGTCATAACAAATTATGGATGCAAATTAGAAAATATTCTTATGATTTTCTTTAGTCATTCCAACAATTTTAGAGAGAAAAAAAATTCCAACAATTTTAGGTACATCAATACCATATCTCTCTATACTACTATATAAAATGTCAATAGAAATTTTATTTCTTATGTTTTAACTAATATAATATATACTAATTATTGGTAATATATATATATATATATATATATATACTAATTAGTTTGTAACATTTTTTAATATAATTAAAGGCTGTTAGTCTATCTAAATTCCTAGTCATTATAAACTTATTTAATGAATAATGAATAATGAATGAAAGATTTTTCACTCTACAAAGTGTATCCATCTGCATACATATTTTTTATGCACATTAATTTGTATGATAATTAATTAAATATTTCATTTTTAATGAGAATAAATCACGTAATTACTTTATATGAATTCTCTTCTCTAATTTTTTTGCACACATATATAGATGAGTTATGCATATTTATAGTGTAATTAACTATTATTTTTTCATTTAGGTGTATTTGTGCCGTTGAATTTTTCTTATAATTTTTTAAAGATGGTCTTAATTTATCTAATTAAGAGAATTTTTAAATTCACTGTAGTATTTTATGAGACCAGTAATTGATTTTCTTCTTCCTTTTTCTATGTTTTTTGTTTGTGTTGGAAGCTGAAATATGTTGAATATATAATTTTCTCTAAGCAAATGGTAATATGTTATTTGGTGTGTTATAATTGAATTTCATTTCATTTATAACACATTTACATTTCATTTACAGAATTTTGCTATGTTTCTGTCTTTGAAGTTTCCTATAATATTTTTGGGGTTTTAGTTTATCTAATTAGAGAACTTTTTGAATCACTTTTTTTTTTTGTTTTTTTCTTCCTTTTCCTCTTTTAATCATTCTAGTTTTGATGGAAATCTTATTGGTGAATTTGTTTGTTTGTGTTTGGATAACTAGTTTGTTGCATAAAGATTGAATGCTGCATAAAGATTGATTTGTGCTAATTTTGCTCTATAATTTCTATTTGGGGGGTTCATATGGTGTGTGGATTTTTTTTTTTTTTTAATTATGAATGGTATTGGGCCAAAATACTTTCACAACTTCTCTCTAATTGTGGTTTTCGCCAAAATACTTTCACAACTTCTCTCTAATTGTGGTTTTCTTTATTTCCAATATACAATATATAGATGCA